TAAACCCAGGCTAAAAGGGAAAAAGCCACTTTAAAAATAAAACATTCTAAAAATTGATGAAGTCTGATAAATAAAATTACAAAAGAATAGCATAACATACTACTAAAATGACTTCAATAATGCTAAGCTCTTCAAGTTGAAAACTTAAAACAGAAGAGTAAAATTTTATCTAGAATTCCCATCTTTAGTATCAATTGAATTTTTGTTCTCTGAGATTTATGAACTCATTCTAAATCTAATCCATTTAAAAACACAGCAATACTTTTTATGGCATGCAGAAATGTAATTGTTAAGAGTTTTGGTAGAGAATATATGATGTAATGTATAGTGTTTTTTTATAGAACTATCTGTATTAGAGTCATTGTATACCTCCATTTATATATGGAAAAGAGGCAATTTGCAACTATGAGATTTTGAAAACACCCATGTTTGTCAATTAAAACAACTTACAAGGTGAAAATGTAGGAATTTAGCATAGTCCTTTCCCAATTACATCATTATAAATTAACTGTCCAGTAACTGGATTTCGAGCAGGTGGAAAAAAATAGTTAAAATTTTTGAAATCTGAGAAGTAATCAATGTCTTCCTGATTTTAACACTTCACAGGATAAAAGAGAAAGAAAAAGAAAAAAATTATTATGACTTTATAAATTTTAAAAATGCATGTGGAAGGCAATTGAATTATGGATGATTGAATATATTTTGAATTTCTAATTAATCTTTTAATTTTATCAGTCATAACATGCTGGTTTTCTGAACATTGTCTTTTAAAATGTTGTAATTTTTATATATCATTGCTTAAGGCAGAGTTATATTTAGGGTTTAGTATAGTTACATTTACTATGAGGTACTTCAATTGAAGAAAACCACCAATTTCTGAAAGAAATCATAAATCTAAATTTAAAAAGAAATGGAAACCAGGAAGCAAATATGTTGTGTACTGCTTCACACTTCAGAGGTAATGTTTAAGCATTCTTTTAACATATGTAGAAATGTAACAAATTTTATCATAAAAGCACCAATTAGTATTATGTAAAAACAGTAACATTTCAATAACCTGTAATAGTATATGGAATCAGTAGATTGCTTGCATTAGTATCCAGCATAATAGTAGATTTGTTCATGAAATTTTATAATGCATAATTTCTTGGAAAACACAGAAATAAAATGGAGTACATCATAAATCACATAAATCACCATTGACTACTTAGCATATATGAATATATCATCAAAATTCTTAATTTCAGAATAACTAAAGGACATATCAGTATTTCTGGTGAAAATATAGCAGAAATAATATTTCTATATACAAAGTTTCAGAGAAAAATTCCAGTTAAAACTTATTCATCCACACTTAAATTCATGTATTATGATTATATTACTAAAGTGTATGTATCAAATAAAATGCAAAATATACTTTTAATGAGTTTAATTTTAAATATTTTGATACTCATATCAAATTACAGGTGTACAGAAGAATGACATCTTTTAAAAGAATCATCATAAAGATTGAAATAAGATTTTATGTTAAACTTTTGGAATGTTTGATATGTTTAATCCCTCTTAAAATAGTTTTGTGTGTGTGTGAGTTTTATCTCAGTTTTTACTATTGAATCTCATTTCTTTTAAGTGAAGGAAACAATAGGTATACATACTTAAAAAGTTTAAAGAACTTAATGTATTTAAAATAATTTTGGTCAAGTATCCTCCACAAGATAATTAGCTTACATTTTCATATAATCAGTCTCTTTGTAATGGGCTATTTGATATTAAAACTTTGCATAGTATGTTGACATTGATATAATATTTTCCTCAGGACATTTAATATATTGTAGATATAGCATAAATACTATGTCATCAATAGTTTAAAATGACTTATACAGTTTTTTATAATTGTTGTAACTTTTACCATTCATCTTTAATATAATTACTGAAAAGACATCTTTCGCCATTGAATTTTATAGACACAAACACTGAAGTGGCTATTATAGGAACTATGAGGATTTTTTTTCTCTCTTATTATATTAAAAAAAAAAACAAACCTCAGTGGCCTACAGAATAAAAACCAGTATTCTACCTTATTACAAATATTCTAATAAATGTGATTTTTTAAAGTATGGAATAATTAACACATATTTAGAAATACAGAGAAAATTTTAAAGTCACATTTAATTCTGAAAGGCAACGAATCCTCCCGTTCACTTCTTTTTTCTGTGTATCACTTTTTCCCCATCCAAATAACATTTTGTTTATTTTATACTTTCTATTAGAAATCTGGACTTCATAATTTTTATTGATATTAAATATCTTGTGTCTTCAATTAAAAAGTCCTTTCTTACTAGCTTTATTTTAATTGCATGACTTTGGAAGTGATTTTTTTTTTTCTAACTCTTTTCTCTTTCATTTTTTCCCTTCCCATATTGCTGGTCTCACAGAAGTTGATGGACTGAGGTAGGTTGTGGAGAAATTTCTAGACACATTGTTAACATCTGATGCAGTAAATGAAAAAAAAAAAAAAAGCTAGTCCATTCCCTGGGTTGATTCAAGAAGTGACAGCTCCTGGAGATTAAAGCTTTTGTTTGCTTGTTGCTAGTTACCTACAACTCACTGGTTAATTCAAATTCATTAATTTATTAATTAACTTCTTTCAAACACATGTAATGCAAATTTAAAGAACCATTATGAATGTTTTTTTACTGATGTCTGCAGATGAAGTCTATTTTTAGTTAATCTTGTCTAACACTTTCTGCCTTGCCTCTAGCTGACAGCATTGTACTATGTAAATATTTCTGGTTATGTATATTGAGGTGGTTGCCTAAATTTTAGTTTGAATAAAAACTTAAAGCTTTTACCCCGAAGCCATAGAGTAGCTACAGGAGTTAGGGAAGTTTAGTGTTACTCTTTGTACTTCAACTTTTAATATCAGAACACATATTGAAACCATAAACACAATGAAAATCCAAAACCTATTCCTACGATATTGGAGGAATACCCTCCCCCTTTATTTTTAAAGAGCCAAGGGCGTGGGGAGTGGCAGGAATAAATATTTTTAAGATGTAAGTTCTGAACGCCATCCTTCAGTATTAAACCCCTAAAATTTGCAAAGTAAAGAACAACCCCACACCCCCTTTCAAAATCTAAAGCAATATTAGATTCCCCAAATATCAGCAAAAAGTCTTACCGTCAAAAAGCTTGCTGCAGGTTCCAGCTCAGACCCAGACTGAGGAGTTGAGCAGCTGGTGAGCAAAAGTTTTAGTTCTTTTTTTTTTTTTTTTAAACGAAGTCTGCAAAACTAATTTCCCTCAAAATAGGGCTCAATTTCCGTTAAAGAAAGCAGCACTTACAAATCTCAGAATTCCTGATCAACCCCACTCCACCCCACCTCTAAGAAATGGGAAACAATTCGATCTTTTACGTGGATGTGAAGGTTTATTTCGAAGCCACTATTCTGGAGCACTCCTTAAACTTTTGAAAAGGGAGTCAGGCTGAAGCTGGAGGGGCTGGGCAAGGGGAAAGTTTCTGCCTTAGGGACACCCTTCCAAGATTAATCAATACTTTTTTTCTAATTCAGACCAGATGTCTAGCCCAGTTTGCTGTGCCCATTAATCCCATTACCAACTTCAAAGACCTGGTCACCATCCTCTGGACACCTGAGACAATGAAAATAACGGGGCAACACTGCTGGTGGCACATTCAGGGTCCAAGCAGGATAGGTGACTGCAGATATTCTCCTGATGTGACACTTCCCAACAGAACCTGGCTGTTCCTGCGTCTCATTAGGTGCTGCTGCTTTTTGTGTGTAAAGGATTCTGCCCCCAGCAGACCGCAAGCAAGTGGCTATACGAAGCCCCAGTCCCCGCTTTCACAAATTCACTGGTGGCAAATTTTCTAACTCCCTTTTTCAGGGATGCAAATTTTAACCAGGGCGACCTGAAGAGCTAGCAAATTCTGGTGGGTATTGAAGTGTAATCTTTCTCAGTAAATGGAACAGTGGTGGTGGGAAGGAGTGCGATTAGTTATTTTATTTTTTTAAGGAAGAGAAGGTGAACTACTGGAAGGAAATGAGGTGGTTACTGAAGAAAGTGAGGTTTGAAATATGCGTGCGATCTACATTTCTCATGTGACAGGGATGAAATTGCTTTGAAATAATTTTGAGCCAGGGAAAATTTGGTAGACAAGTGGCTAGGAAACTGAGAGAGATCAGAAAAGTGGAGTAAGGTCTGTAAGGTCCAGGAAAGGGGACACCCCTTAGCATCGCACGTGAGGATGCGGGGCATTGATGTCCACAACTTTCTTTGCCCTTACGCTTTCCCGCCAGTTTCCTCTCCTTTCCGTTTAGAGAACTTCCCTTTGCCATCCGTTCGTACATAACTCTGACTTGGAGTCCCAGCTCTTTAACAACCCATCTATAGACACTAGCGTTGAAAAGATAGGTGCGTCTCTGAGCTCAGAGAAGAGGGAGATACAAAGTTTGAAAAACTTCAGAGCGTGCGCCAAACTAGCTCTGTTCACGTCTTCCGTGCTCCTCAAGAGCTAGGCGCACGCTTAGCTTTCCTGCAGGTGACAGTTCATAAGCGGCACTAACAAATCGCATTTTCTGGGACAAGTGAATGGGTAGCAAACTAGGTGCATGGTTGGAGAGGGGGCCGCCTGAGCCTGAGGCGCGGGGCCGCTGCCAGCTCCGGCGGGATTTAGGCGCCCGGCGCGCGGCGTGTAGTCCTGGACGCTGACTGGGTTGGGCGGGCGCGGACGTGCGGCGTCTGTCCAGCAAGCTATGCGAAGTGGAAGTGAGAGCGCGTGGTGGCGCAGACTGAGCAGGAGTTTTGGAGGGAGTTTGCATGTGGTCAGCGCTGGGCTCCTAAGCCAGCCCCCAGCTCACATTACACTCTATTTATAACCTCTCAGAGTCATTTCCCCCTGAATGCAGTTCTCTGGGACCACCTTCTTTTGGCTTCAACTGCTCCCACTCTTGACATCTGAGCTGCTCAGAGGGAAGCTTCTCCAGGTCCGAGTGTTTATATGTAAAGGAGACTGGCCGCTAGGGCTCAGGACCGGGATTATCCAAGCTCTGCAGAAAAGCGAGAGGCTATTACTTTTGAAGGGGGAAAAAGTCACACGATTTCCAGTGAAAAGTGACAGAGGGTGGTGGTGTTTGGAACCGTCCTGAAGTCTTCTGCCTGGATTCCAAGACTTGCATGCTATGGAACACCCGCTCTTTGGCTGCTTGCGCAGCCCGCACGCCACAGCGCAGGGCTTGCACGCATTCTCTCAGTCCTCTCTTGCCCTCCATGGAAGATCTGACCATATGTCCTACCCCGAACTTTCTACTTCTTCCTCGTCTTGCATAATCGCAGGATACCCCAACGAGGAGGGAATGTTTGCTAGCCAGCATCACAGGGGGCACCACCACCACCACCACCATCACCACCACCACCATCAGCAGCAGCAGCATCAGGCTCTGCAAACCAACTGGCACCTCCCGCAGATGTCCTCCCCACCGAGTGCGGCTCGGCACAGCCTCTGCCTCCAGCCTGATTCCGGAGGGCCGCCGGAGCTGGGGAGCAGCCCGCCGGTCTTGTGTTCCAACTCTTCCAGCTTGGGCTCCAGCACTCCTACCGGGGCCGCGTGTGCTCCTGGGGACTACGGCCGCCAAGCATTGTCACCCGCGGAGGCGGAAAAGAGAAGTGGCGGCAAGAGGAAAAGCGACAGTTCAGGTAAGAGCGTGCAGAGCACCCTTCGAGAGAGTGCATGCCATTTGGAAAGGGGGCGGGGAGATGCCAGGAAAGATTCTCGCACTACTGTGAGAGGACTGGGAAGATGAGAAAAGTCTTGCCCCCTGGCTCCCGGTGGCCAAATCCGGCGGTGCAGCTTTGGTTCGGTTATTTGGAGGCACGTGTTTTCCTGAGGGTAACACATACATGGCCAGCAGGACTAAGCTTTCCAAGAGCCCAAACTAGTTTACCAGAAGGTTGTGTAAAAAGGGCAAGCGACAGTATGTGAAATCGATTGCGAAGCATGACAGTCCATCAGACACACACGCCAGGAGGGGTGTGTGCCCTGGGATGCGGCGTCTGTTGGGCTGGCGTGCGTGCGGGGTGCTGCTCCTTGACTTTTTGCTTACACATTCCCGACTCCGAGTGGCTTGATTTTTCCCATCGTTAACTGGATTTCCAAATTATTGCACAATGTTTGGAACTTGTAGTGGAACTTGGCAGAGTGCATGAGAAAAAAAAGTTTTAGTTTTTTTTTTTTTTTTCAATATTCTGATTTTAGAGTTCTTTAAATAGTAACCTCTTCCAAATGGTAAAATATTCCTTTTCGCGGAGGAAAGAAGACATTATCTAGGAATTTAGTGTTCAAGGAATGCTTCAGAGAATTGTTAATAAATAGATGCTTAGGGTGGTCTTGAGGAAAGACCATTCTTAATCACAGTTCATGTTTGTGTGGTGTTAATCTTCTAAACAAAAAAAAAAAAAAAAAAAAAAAAAAAGAATCCGAGTTTCAAAAGTAGAAAATAAAATCCTCTCTCAATTGGACGATATCTGGACAAGTACCGAGAAGCAAACAGCAACTTGGGTAGTGCTGGTTCACTTCTGGCTTAAAGGTGATATGCTAGCGTGTGCGCTAGAGCACTGATCTATAAGCGAATAAATTGAGCAGACTCCTCAGAACCTCCTTGAACTCTGGTGTCTGAAGGTGCTGTTTTACCGAGTAGATTTTAAGGATCCTGAGGAACTGAAAGTTTTCCAGACAACTCTTCTAAGCCCTTAGCTATCTCTATCATACAACTGTTAAAAGATAGTTTATAAGGGAAGAAGTAGTGAGTTTTCTGCCGTGGCTATAGCGCAACCTGAATTCCATCTTTTTGGAAGGTGTCATTTTACAATGCTTGATTTTTTTTTTTTTTGAGCAATTGTGTCACTAGTCCTAAAAGATAATCTCAGGTATTAGTTTGAAAAATTGAAAAATGTTTATTCTCTATAAAACTTTAGCTAAGATGCTTTATGAGTAACAATAACTGAGCTATTTCATATTACATTGTAGCGATGGCATCAATTGTTCTTTAGTGTTCGATTGGAATGGATGCTTCTGTCAAGGTCTCAAAATCTAACTTCTACTTTCAAAGGTCAGGGGTGAACTTTTAATGCTCCCTCACAAATTAGTTTATATCTAACAAAGTTACCAGCTTTATCACTCACTTTTATGGATTTTACTAACTATAAATGTAATTCTCTTAAGACAATGAGTTGAAAGGCTAACCATAGGATAAATGTTTCCATTATCATTAGAAAAAAAGTAAATTTTAGAATGCAGTGAGCATTTCACAGACTGGGCATTGAAGATGAGTCATTTGGGTACACATATCTCAGTGCAGGTTAGTCAGAGTACTTTTAAAATTACTGGAAAGTCTTACTGTTCATTTTACTTTCTGCAATGAGGAACCTATGTGATGGATTGTTCCTTATGCTTCCTGAACTGAATCAATGCCCTTAAGTTTCTTAGGGCAAAAATAATTTTCATACAAGCATGTTACTTCTGGTTGGGGGAAACAGAGAAAGTGGGATTCCAGAACTTACGCCCTTAAATTATTTTAATAAAAATTTTCATTTAAAAATAGTTAATAACCATCCCCCTTCATCATTGGAAAATAACACAATAACAAAATAAACCTTAGTTTTATAATTGAAGTGGATAAGTAGGGTACTGGAAAAACAAACAAAAATAAAAATTTGTATCAGCTGCATAACAAGACAAAATCACTGAGGACTTAGAATGAGTTTTTTCTTTGAAGGATATTTTGAAAGAATGTTTGACTAACAAAAAGCAAGTACCACAAAAGTTTCTGGTTAAATCTATGTACTGTAAACTTGTTGAAAATAAAATTCAACTTACCAGTTTCAATGTCTGAGTTAATATTTATCAGAACACTAGATAAGTTTGAATTTAAAATATTTTTCTCCTGCAATGATATTGCATCTGGTAATTCACAATTTATGTTCAAATTATTTTATTTATAGTACTATAAGGATCTTGATCTAATAGAAACTAAAGCAACATAAAAGATTATTATGATTCTGGTACATTAGCATATATCTCATTACTTATAACATGGTTTTGATATTTCAGTAGTTCTAAAAATTAAATTAATTTTGAAACTTTGCAATTTAAAATTGTATTAGATGAAAATTAAAACATACATAGTAGAGGTCATTTGATTTTGTCAGGCAATTTATAATTACTAGGTACTTGTAGTTGAGAGTTAGTGCTATACGTAAATCTAAGGTAAAGTTGGAACCAGAATTCTGAATTCCTGTATCTAATACCCAGACTACATGTGTATTTATTCATTACTTTAAGTTCTAATAGAATTTTTAGTGCCAGAAAATATTGATGAATGACTGAAATATTTATAAACCTACATTTTTATCCTTACTACTAGTGCTAAACTTAAAATTTGTAACATTTTTTCAGTATGTATTTATACGCATTTTCCTTCCACAAACACACATGAACAAACTCAAACACATATACAAACTTAAAATGCTTAGTAGTTTAGAAGCAAGCATTTATAGACTTTGGTCTTCCATTATAGTTTATTGACAATTGAAAATAACCAAGTTTAATAGGAAAGTACACCATTATTTTTTATAAGTGTTAAACATTTTTGTAACTTTTAGCCTGCTATGCTTTCCAGTATTATTAGTAAAGCCAACATCTGCGACATCTTCAAAGGGACTCTTAAAAAACAAAACTTTACAACTATACTTAAAAAAATCAGTACAAAGCAGGTGATTCTGAAAAATGTCTATAAACAGTGTGAATTACTTGGCTTCAATTACATTAGATTGTTCTCTAAGCAATGCAGTGGTAGGTATAAATTGCCCACTTTCATTTAAAATAACCAAAATTAACTAAAGTAACTTTAGCTTTCAGGTAGGCAATATACAACATAAATATGTAAATATTTTCTATTTGAATTATTTTTTTAAAAAGTAAGCATATATTTTATTTTAAAAAATCAAACATATCCAAAAAATAGGGGAGGATAGGCAAGCAATTATTTGGAGAGGTGTATTTTACTAGGTTTTGAATCATAATTATATTCTTATAAAATGGCAAATATTTTATTTATAGTCGCTAGATCATGAACCATTTGTTTTCCATGTATGTGTACATGCTTGTATACCAAATGACAAGCAAGTATTATATTTAATATTCTGGAAGTTAAACCCAGAGTAATGTCTTACTCAAACTATTTCAGGTATTATAGTGTAAATTTTCCTAGCTATTTCAGTTATCATGGTTTTTTTGAGGAAAAAAAATGTAACTTTTTTATTCATGTCTGTGTTACTATATTATGGCTTTTCCTTATTTGTATTAAAATAAAAACTAGTTTGCTGGATCTTGAAAACTACAGGAGAATATTGACAATATAAATGACATAAAGGTATGGAATATAGAATAACATTTTATTATTTTTTATGGATGTTAGCTTAATTTTAGGTGTGAACATTCTAAAGTTGTGACCTGATATTAATAGTAATTATACTAATAATAGTAATTACTATAATTATTGTTGTTGTTATTATTATTATTCTAGGTATCATTGACCTAACATGAGTGTTCATAGATGACTACACTCAAAAGTCAAGAGCAGAAATTCATTTAGAATGAAGTGATTCAAGGTTGAATGTAAGCAATGAATGGAAGGAAGAATGCAAATATACACAGGACTAGCTCCCAGTTCTGCGTAAACCTCTTTATAGTTTATTTGAAAAGGAAAACCATTAAAGTAAGGCAAGGTAACACACAAGCTTTCACTCAGATTAGAAACCCAACAGTAACTATTTAAAATGTTAACTGTTATTTTATAGTAATTATCAGTTGAAACCATTATGTTGGCCCCTTGTAAGCTGATTCCTACTAAGGAACTGAAAAAAAAAAAAAAAAAGAAGAAGAAGAACATTTTAATCATTTCTGCATTTTTCCTTCTGTGTTTGAAAACAGATACTTCATCCTAGTGCTGGAATGTAATGTTATAATGTTTATTGTAAGACCTGATCACTTGAAGAAATTGATTTTAAATAAAAATGAAACAGCAGAAAGGATCTATTCTATCTCTAGAATTGGGGAAATTTGGGACACTAATTCCATATCCAATGGAAGATTTAATCTTTTTCATTGAAAAATGTCAACCTATGAATGAATTAACAGTTGATTTATGTAAAGTAAAATTCCTATTTATGATTCTATTACATGTACTTGACATGGTAATTTGCTTTGTGTGGATGATTTTATTCATTTATTATGTTTAAAGGGGCAGCTTGAAACATAAAACAAAGTTAGGTGTACTATTTAGATTTTCATTTCAAGTGGGAAAAACAATATAATACAGTAACATATTTTAGTTTTAGAATGTATTTGCTTCATTGATTTATATCTAAAATTTTGGAACATACCTCTTTTTCAAGCATTGCTATAAGAATTGTAATTATCTACGATAAATCAATGATAAGGATGGAAAACAATAGAAAATAAATTACACTAGAATTTGTTAATAATTATAGATGTTTTATCACTCCCAAATTTCTGGGTCTTAAATTTTCAATTTCCTTCAAACTTTTCAATTAGCCTTTTTTTTATACTAATAACACATCTGTGAGTGAAGTTATCATGTGAAGTAAGACTATCAACAATAGCATTTTTCTCCCTG